AAGCACATTCAAGGATTGATTCACTGAAAAAAATCACTCCAGAAAGCTTGGGCTGAACTCGATCCTGCATATCTTTTGGCCACCATCGACGACTTCGACGCCTTCTGCCTTCGACGCCTCAGGCTCAGGCTCAGGCTCAGGCTTAGGCTCAGGCTTAGGCTTAGGCTTAGGCTCAAGCGCCTTGTGCAGTGCAGCCGATGCCTTGTGCAGTCGCCCATAGAGATATTTTCGAGAATAAATAAATCAAACTCTTGAAAGCAACCTAGAGAATAAAGTTGTTGATGTTAAGTTTTGTTTTTTCGATGAAAAGATTTTTAAACCATAAGTTTTATTGCTTCGGGTAATTTTGGCAAACCCTGTAGTATCAGAGCAAGTTAGTCCCAGATCTTTCTAGTTTCAGAAAATTTCCCCAAATCGTTTCATTAATTTTTAAACTCTCTCTTGCAAACTCTTTCTTGTCTCCCACAAAAAAGCAAATATTATCGAATCGAGCGCAAAAGTTTTCGTGGAAAATCGCTGAAATGCGGAAAAAGGAAAAGACAGGATTTAGGTGGCCAATGAACACAATCTATATGAACAAATATTATTTATTTAGGCGATCGAATTGCAGCAAAATCCCATCCTTTTCTTTAGCTTCAAAGTTTTGTTGAAAATTCTCTGCACATTTTGCTGAAAAGCCTTTTTTAATTCATTTTTTTAATTCTTTTTATTGAGCCATTTCGTTGAAATTGGGGCTTTGTGGATGTGGGGTTTTCTCGAAAACCCACAAATTCTTTTCAAACTTTTATCGCCGCTTTTTCAATTTTCGGTAGTCAAAGATTAGGACTTTACTACAGATCCCTTAACTGATCGTTAAATTCGTTTCTTGAGAATTTCTTGAGAATTTCAATTGGTTTCCCCATTAAACCTTTGGCTTTCAGCATTAAATTTCGATTCTTTTTGTTCTAATTTCATTCTTTTTGTTCTAATTTCATTCTTTTTGTTCAAAAGCTAAACATGTCTAATCTTCAACTCTAGTCTTTACCTGAAAACACACTCAATATCAGATTTCATTGCTTTAAACCATTCTCTAACCCTAAACCATTTCCCCCAAAGACAAATCAATTTCTTGCTCATTATTTTCATTGAGAGAATCGGTTGTCTAACGGGGGCACTTCTCCTAAAAAAAGTGTGAGATGGAGGGGCTTGCCATTAGGAATCCCATTGAAAATTGGGGCATTTAGGATCTCTTCTTTGAATCGGGCAAAAAAAGTGATAAAGGAATGAAGAGAGAAGATAGAAGCCGTATGAAAAAAAGGGATAAAGGTGAAGAGAAGATTCGTGAAGAAGCGGAGGAGGTGGATGGGGAATGAAGGACATTTGGGGAATGAAAGGGTGATGAGAAGTCGAGGTGGGAGATCGGGTTGAGAAGTCATTGCCTTGAAACTTTTTATCACTTGTCCAAGATCTCGAACTCAAATGGGGCTTAATTCCGAATGAATTGAAAGTTTTGAGTTAAAATTAGAAGCTAAAAAAAGAAGAAAGGAAAGAAATTCGACCTTTTTTTGCTGCACCTGGTTCATTTGTCCGACAAAACTCCTGGTTTTTTGGAAATTGCCTTCCCTAGGCAAGGCCGTAAGAAATTTGGGTTCGTGGAAAATACTTTCCATTCTAGGGGAATCGTAAGCTTAGATTCCATTTTGACGAATTATAGCTCATCCTAAAGCTGAATTTAAGACTAAAAGGCAAAAACTGCGTGAAAAGCGTTAAGTTTCGTAAAGTTTTTGCCTTTTAGCCCAAGTTTGGCGTGCAGAGCCAATGGCTGTTTTCTCGAAATTCGGAATCTTACGTACAGATTCCCTTAGGCTGAATAACATTTTTGAAGCTCTAAGACCTTCCCTAGGCACGCATTTTCACTTAGCAAAAAATGGTGCGCAAAATGTTACACCGTGTGCAAAACAAGTCCAGCACCCCCAGCTCAATAACTCGAATTTAGAAATTTTCCTTAGTTTTCGCTTAAAGCTTAGTCTTCGATTCTAAACGGTTTTACCAACTCGACTGGCTTTAATCGCTTTAGGAATTGAGCTATAAATCCTGTTGACAAATGTAAGTACAGTCCCATAAAATGAAACTCCCCAATATAATTCTTAAAGCAAAATACAATTGATCATCTTCAAAAAAAACTCTCTATGCTCACAAATTTTGCAAATGACTTTGAGTCATTTCCATCAAACGATTCCCTATCGCCCCTTTTCCCCATTGATGTTCCCAATCGTTAATTCTCAATCCGGAAATGAGTGATGTTCATTTAGAAATTTCTCTTATCGTTAATCCCCCCATTTATGAGGGAATTTCCGGATTTCGGCTCCATTTATGAAGTTGTTTCGGAAAGGAGATCGTCTAAATTTAGTTCCTAAATGATTTCAACTTACAAAATCTTTTACTTCTAGAAGTTTCTGTAAAATGAGTTGAATTGCTACAGAAATATTTCCTATCGTCATTTCAATTTAACTCATTTACTTATTACTATTATTACTTATTACTATAGTAGCTTTACCTCTTATTTTGCTTTTTAGTGCATCAAAATTTTGCATCAAACTTTTTTGTCTCCCCGACAAAATGGTGAGATCTCGTGAAGAAAGATCATTTTCTTTTTTTCTCCACGTCAACTTTTCGCACATTTTCTAAGAGACTTTATAATCATTTAAGCCTTTTTGAGCTTTCATAAAATGAGAAAGCTATTGAACTCTTCAATCTTTCAGAGAATTCAATTGGGAAGAGGTTGGGGGAGGCGGGGAAGGTTGGGTTCGGATTGGGTTGGATTCAATACTGGAAACTCATCAACAATCTAATGATTATGGCCAATTTTGATCCAGTTAATTCAAAGCATATTTAGATAATCAGAAATTGTCTAATTTAGTCTTGAAGTCTTGAAGTAAGTGAAGTAAGTCTTGAAGTAATGCAGGCTTGAAGTAGGTTTGAGATCGGAAAACCTAGACCAGTTTTAGAGCTAATAAAATTCACTGCATCAAGTGACTATCCTTGAATTAAATTTTCAAGGCTTTTTCTTGCAAATTATGTGTACAAGTAGCCGAAAACTCGCCTAGCTGCAGTGGTGCAGTCGCGAGAACGCTTGTCTATGGCCCACAGGATCCGGGTTCAACTCCCCATAATGCCACTCAACTCTTGCTTTTAATTTTTTCTTCTAAATGACACAACTATATTGTATGTTAAGCCTTTTTAAAGAATTTTAGCTTTTTTGGCCCAAAAGGGGCTGAGTACAGATGAATGGACGGACAGACACTGCTCAAAAGAGCTTATATAGCTTTTATATAGCTTTTATATAGCAGACTATAAAAGAGTTAACCCAATTTAGAAACTTAATCCATGTTCACATCTCTTTTGCTCGTTTTCATTTAAAATCTCACTTTCCTGTTGTCACACGATGCTTGTCACCAAGGGGGAGATGGAAGGGATCTCATAGAGGGAAATCGTTGTAACAAAAGCATTGCATCGACAATAGTTCCCAAAAAGAAAGCGATTCTTTTCTGATTTTTCTTTTCATTTCCATGACACACAATAAATCATCGTTGGTTGACTTTTCGGTCACCATTTGGCTTGATACTGATACTCCAACGAGATACCGATACTCCAACGAGATCCACAAGTGAAAGCTATTTTTGTTGGGACTTGATGAGTCACTAAATGCTTTTGTTGATCACAACTTTTCTTCATTCATAGAAAATTATTTTACTGACAACTGACAGTTACTGACAGTTATTTTACTGACAACTATTTACACTTTGCTGATTTGGTTGATTTTTACTATTAAACTCATGGTAAGATTAGAAAAAGCCAGATTTTTGAAGGTTTTCTTTCAAAGCAAAGGTTTTTTGAAAAATCTAGCTCTTTCAAATATTCATTGTTTGTTTTGTGGATGTTATTGAAGCAATTCCAGAGTTTATCCTTACCACTCTCTCCTTTTTTTTCTTTTCTTTTCTCAGTTCAATCACAAAGGGAGTGAAGTACCTCGAAATCGCGTGCTTTCATGCATATTCGACCACCAATCTTTTGTTCTTTTTGAAGACGATGAAATTTTTGACAAATGAGGGAGCATTATTGGTTAAATTAAAATTTAACAAGTAAATATTAAAAGAAAATCGGTTTTCTGACTTCTTTATTGTTTCTAAAGGTTTTTCGAATTTGTGAAAACTGCCTCTTAAAAATTAAAAGTGAATCTCGTTTTCTCAACTTTTTTCCTCTTTTGAAACATGAGATCTGCAAAACACAGCGAAAGTGGCCAATCTCAGTTGTTCTAAAGTCGGCTCGGAAATGGCGATTGAAAAGAGAAAAGGGGAAAAGGAGGGATGGAGGAGTTCTCTGTCCCGAAGAACCTCAAAGAACAACGACGATAACGAGGCCCGAAATCGGGTTATCGCCACAAAAATGATGGGAAAAGAAATAGGAAGGGCAAAGCTATTGCGGATTTATAGGACATCGAAATTGGAGTGGACAAAAATGGGTGAAAAGGAAAGTTGGGCATCAGAAAAAAGAAATTAGGCCGATTGGTGGTGCGTGTTGGGGGATATTCTGAAGAGAAAGAGAAAAAGGGAAACTTTGGCTTGACTTCTTGAAGAGATTTCTTTTTTTGCAGAAAAAGAAGAATCAATGGATGGATTTCTTCTCAACAATTTCTTTTCTTTTCATCTCTTTGTGCTCATTGCCTTTTTTTGGATCCTTTTCCTAAAATTGGCTTTTGACTCTTTACGTAGGAGGGAATATTTAGATATGTTGCTCACTCTTGCTCACTCTTGCTCACTCTTGCTCACTTTTGCTCACTCTTGCTCACTCTTGCTCAATTTGGGTTTTTCGGGAATGTTTTATATCTGATAGAAACTGGCCTGTTTAAACCTTGACTGCTTAAAAGCTAAACCGTTCGTTACTTTTCATAAATCAAAGCTTTTACAGTTCTACTTTACTCTAAAGCTTTTACAGTTCAAAATATCTTTTTCTTTTAGTTTATGGTCTTCCACGCAATCCATTCACTCGCAGCCGCAGTATGGAATCGATCAGAAGAAGGGAGAATCGATGGACTCCAATCATCCCTTTCATCCCTTCAAACACTTCAATCTCCATCCAATTCACTCACACCAAATCTCAACTCATCTATCGGTACAAATGTGCCCGTTGTGGAGTTGATATTGGGAACGATTACGTATTTGGTAAGTTGAAATTGTTCTTGAGTTGATTATGAGAGATCTTCTCAATCTCCAACACCTCGAATTCCCTCTAATTTCAGGTAATCATCGCGATGACCGTTATCGGGAATACTCTTGTTGTTTTGGCCGTCTTCAACTATAGGTAAGTCTATACTTTTTCTATATACTGTAGTTTTTATCTCGTTCATCATCCACCAAATTTATGTTACGTCCGCTATTGAATCTATTCAAAAAAAGACGTCCAATTCAGAACCGGACGTCCATTATTAAATAGATTCAGGAACGGACTTCGGACTAACGGACTTCCGATTTTGAATCAATAGTCAATAAATTCAATAACAAACATAACATACATTTTCAGACCATTGAAAAAAGTGCAAAACTACTTTCTCGTTTCCCTTGCTGCTTCAGATTTAGCTGTGGCTATTTTTGTGATGCCACTTCATGTCGTCAAATTTCTGGCAGGTAGGGATTTTTGCGAAGATTTTTGATCAGACAAACTGGGGTTCCATTTTTGGTTGCAAAATGAATGAATTTCTTGGCTTTTGAGGAGTCTGGAGGGGTTTTGGGTTGTCACTCATTTGGAAATCCCCTTTTTACCTAGGAACATTCAAAAAAGTGACAAGTGCTGGAGGCAAGGATTCACTTGCAAAATTTCGGAGATTCTAATGAAATCATTCTAAAGAATCTAAAAACAGTGGTAAAATTAATGAACCTGCTATGGTAAAGTAATCGACTCAGTGCCCCACTAGATTTTCCATGTAAACATTGTGATTTTCTAAATAACTCTTCTCCAAAGACTCTCGTTTTAGAGATTTTTGGATAAAGAGCATTCATTGAGTACATCAAAGTGCTCTCTGATTCTCAGCGATAAAACGAAAAAAAAAGCCCGTCTCTTTTCCATTGTGTTTAGCTAGCGGAAAGCGTAAAATTGTGAAGTCACTGAGAATTGAGAATTCTCTTGTCTTTTTGTCTTTCTTTTCCCGAATTCATCCCAAAAATACGCGCAAAATCCCACGCTGTTGCCATCGGAGATTGAAATCTTTGCATTTTTGATCAAATTTTTTTTGATGCTTTAGAGCTAATTTGAGATTCGAAAGAAAAGAGATTGTGAAAGTCACGGTGATCATTTAAAAATCTTTTAAAAGGTCACTTTTAGCAAGTCACTTTTAAAACGTTTTTTCTGTGCTTTTTACTTTTTTCGACCACACTTTACAACCAAAAATTGGCAAAATTGGCAAAATTTACATATAAATTAGCAAAGTTCATTCAAATTATTCAATCGTAACTCTTTTAATATTGGAAAACGAGGAAAAACCCCGTTCTCCCAATTTCAATTAGATCACCATAAAAAGACAAAAACTAGGTTTAAAGTTAAAATATTTTAACTTTCTACAGCACTGATATGGATTTTTGTTACTACCTACTGTTGAAATCTCTTACCTAGTCCAGCTCTTAGCCATCCCCCTCTTTCGGGGGATGCCCACTGCTCACCACGCGGAGGTGGCTGGACATCGAGCAGCGCCCTCCCCTTGGGCCTAATGGTCGGCCCAGTGGGAGGGGGGGACTGTGGGGGAACTAGCCTAGTGGGGGATCCTTCCCCCGGGGCCTAATGGCCGGCCCAGGGGGAGGGAGTGCGAGGGATGCCAAAGACATCCCCACACATCGCCAGTTGGCCATTTCACGGGTCCTGCTCCGTGTGGTTTTGCGCCGAAAGGGCGTCGACACGGTAAAGATCAAAACGATCAGTACCCCCACACATACCGAAGTTTTGCGCCAAATGGGCGACGACACGGTACACACCAAAATGGTGCGCCCCCTTCGGATACGGCCAGTTAAACCCGGACCGGAACAGATTGCCGAAGAAGGACGGGAAGGGTCCGTCATAGGTAAAAAACCTGCGCCAGACGGCGAACGATTACGCCGACGCACAAAGATTCTTTACAAAGGAATTTCTTTCGTTTTGTAAACATTGTTCAGATCAGATATGAAGCCAAAATTTTGTACCAATGGGTTTTCGGGGTCGGGGAAGCGATTGGCGGGGTTCATTTGTTGTCTCCCCAAGCAAAATCTCTAATTTGTGCTCTTCTTGAGTCATTTTTCCCGTATTTTTGCTACAAATACAAATGAATGTTTCTATCACCTGCATTGCATTGAAAAATTCAAATTGCAAAAAATCCCATTGACTCGATGTCACGAAACTCACAAAAATTGTAGCTAAGCTTGTCGAAGAGAGAAAAAGGAAAGAATTTAATTGTGAATCCTTTCCATCGTTTTCTTTTATTACACTTTTTTTATATTGAGTTTGGAATTTGGCCGATTCCTTCTTAAAACAAGATTTGTATCGAATGGAGAAAGGCGAGAATTCCCTCAAAATCTTCCTCACCGTTTGTGAAAATTTGGAAATTGGCCAACTTGGAAAATTCAATCACTGGGTGTTGTTTTGGAGAAATTTTGGGAACAAAAATTGTCAAAAATTGGATACAAATAGAAAAAAAGTGTTAGAAATGGGAAAATAATATAGCTGAGAAAGGAAAAAAAATGATTTACTTCTATAAGAGTGCAAAGGTTTCAACATTGAAAACCATTGAAAACCATTTCACCATTGAATCACCAATTTCTCAAGAAACCAGCAATAACCCTCAATGAGAATTTAGGTGGACGATGGTTGCTCGGAGCTGTGATGTGCCAATTCTTCACCACAGCCGACATTTTACTGTGCACGAGTTCGATCTTGAATCTTTGTGCAATAGCGATTGATAGGTAAATGAAGTAAACCCTATAAATCACCAAATTTCACCAAATTTCTAGATATTTCGCCATTCATGATCCGCTCAACTATGCACAAAAAAGAACCCTCAAATTTGTGTGTTTAATGATCGGAGCGGTACGTTTCGATCAAATTTATTGAAATCGGATGAAAATTTTAGGTATGGATAGTTTCATTATTGATATCCGTTCCACCATTGATCGGTTGGAATAATTGGTCATCACAGGTGAAAGAGGGGATTTGTGAATTGACATCAGAGAAAGCTTTTGTCGTCTATTCGGCTAGCGGGTTTGTTTTAGAGAATTTACAAGATCTACAGTACTGGACAATGAAATATGATATTTGAAAAACGATCGTCACTTTCGCGCGTCTGTAACTCCGTTGTCTTTGAGTTTAAACAATTAGTGTTATACATTTTCTGAAAGCTCTTTTCAAGGGCTACAAAATGGTGATATTAATATTTAGAAATACGGTAAAGACAAGGGAGTTACAGACGCGCGAAAGTGACGATCTTTTTTCAAATATGATATTCCATTGACCAGTAGTGTCGATATGCTTTCAATTTCAATTCAATTCAATTCAAATAACTATTGATGATCCGCTCAACTATGCACATTAACTATAAAATGCTAAGTATTTTTTTTTTCGGCAAAATAACCAATGATCCAAAAGTTCCTGTACAACTTTTTACTAAAACTTGGTTTTAAAATGACTGAGGAAAGCCATTTTAAAACAAACTTTTCTTAAAACCGCAATAAAATATACTTGAAATATACTTTAAACTTATAAAATTTATAAAATTCTACTTATTAATAAGGAACCCATAGCTCATCATCGCTTTTTATAGCCATAGCCCTTTAAGCCGCGCAGGCCCGCTGCCGAAATCGACTTTCTTTGGTTATTGGTCGTTATTGGCTGGGGGGATAAACTGCAATCTTACGAAATTTGAACATAATCATTGAATCAAAAAATCATAATCAAAAAATCATAATTAAAAAATCAATTGAACATATAACATAATTGCACCTAATAATCCAACGTCAGGTTTGCCTGGTTAGAATCCTTGGAAATTCCCATTAGAAAATATGATAAAGGGCCATCCAAAAGTTCCCGTACAACTTTTTATTAAAACTTGATTTTAAAATGACGAAAGCTATTCGACTAAATTTTTTAAAATGAAAATCTTAATGAAAGTATACTTAAAACTAATAAGGAGGCCATAGCTCAGAGCTTTTTAGGCTTAGGCTTAGGCTTAGGCTCAGGCTTAGGCTCAGGCTCAGGCTCAGGCTTAGGCTCAGGCTTAGGCTCAGGCTTAGGCTTAGGCTTAGGCTTAGGCTCAGGCTTAGGCTTAGGCTTAGGCTTAGGCTTAGGCTTAGGCTTAGGCTTAGGCTTAGGAAGAGTAATGCGCACAGACAGACAGAAGTCTTAGTTCCCGCCTGGTTGCTCATTTGAACCATGCACAAGTGGTCGACTTTCTACCAAAATCGACTTTCTTTTCAATTTTTTAGTCATGCGTGGATTTTAGACTAATCCCAAACAAAATTTATAAACTTTTAATGTTCACCTTTATGCTATAAACATTAGAAAATGATTTTAAAAGCGTTTAAAAGCTAACATTTAATTTAAAGCTAACATTTAATTGGATAGAAACTCCCTCGTATCAAAGTCGGCAAAATTTGGTGTTTTTATCGAAAAAGAGCATTCTCTAAAAGCCCCAGAAAGGGTATCCAATATTAATTTTCATTTATTTTATTTGAAAAAAGGCTTTAAAACTTAAATTGTGCTAAGGATCTGTATAAACATAACAATAAGTTTCCTTTTGAATCAAATGAGCATTTAGGCTGACACAAAGCAATTCAAAAACAAACAAATCTTTAGATCTTTCTTCTTGCCCTTACTTGTGATGATCGTTGTCTATGTGAAGATTTTTATTTCAGCACGACAAAGGATTCGAAAGAATCGAGGTTTGTAGACATCAAAATGAATGAATCAATTGTGAGCTAAAGAAAAGATTAATGAATTTCTATTAGATAATGAGTTTCTATTAGAATTTGAACGGTTAAAATCCTTTGTATAACCCCCGGCTCATCGGTGTCATAGAATGCTGATGAATTATCTGTGACAACGGTAAATCGGGGGTCTTTTGAGGATTTGAGGATTCGGGAATGAATATTTTAAATGTTAGAAGGGAAGGTTTGAAATAAATATAAGGCATAGCTTTTCAAGATCAGTTAAAATCTCATCACAGAACATCTCATCACAAAAAGAAATCTTTAGGCCGCTCAGCTTTGATGAGAATCAACAATCCACCACCAGATGGATGTGAAACACAAAGCAGGAAATCGACGAAACAGGTTGGAAATGAGGAAATGAGGAAATGTGGGAATGAGGGAATGAGTGAGGAATACAAAGATGTTAAACCACTCAATGCTTTTATAATACAAAACATCTGTTTGTTCCTTCTCTACAAGCCAATTAAAGCATGATTTCAATGAATTGTCTTCTAAAAAGAGAATGTTTTAAAAGATCAAAGAAAGACCGACAACGATCAAAGGGATATCGATGTCGATGATCTATGCAATGATCTATGCCTCGAGCATTTGCCGTTTAACATCATTCCGTTTGAAAGTCTAGATGAGCTCCTAATTGACTTCTCGAAATTGTCTGCAAAACTATTGGGTTGGGGAGAATGAGTCGGCGCCGAAAATGAAAAAAATGTCTAAAACTTCTATTCGACTTCGTCAAATAATATGCGTTTGATATGAGTAGAATGGTTAACTAATTCTCTACAAAATGACATTTAAAAGAAAATTCAAACAGCGCCTCCGCTCAAGAAAAAGACATTTTTTCACAAAAACTACAAACTGTGATCTAGAAAAAACCATTGGTGGGATCTTTCTGCAAATTTGGCAACTTAAGTAATTGAATGTGCTCTATCTTTTTTATATAAACACCAAAGAAGGTTTATGTGAAAGAAACTGTTCAAATGATGAGTCGGACTCTTTGCCATTTTAACCAGCTGCGTTTGGAAGTTCATAAACTCCACGAAAGAAAAGCTTTGTGGAATCTCTCAAAAGTGATTTTGTAGAGAAATAGTGGATCCTTTTGATGAAACCAAACGTATGTTTAAAGAAGGCTTTATGTGTGCAAAAAGTCCCTTTAAAGTTGGGCGCCGACTCATTCTCCCCAACCCAATAGAATTGTGTAGAGACAATTCTAGAATAAAACTAGAATTGTCTGCAGAGCATTGATTCAGTTTTGAATCAATGCTCGAGGTTTATAAGTAAACTGGATAAAAACCGATCAAGAGATTAGAGAGACACATTTCGATTACAAATATCTGAGATCGTATCTACATAAACAAATCAAGGGTCACGAGGGAGCGTCATCATGCGGTGAGAGAACTCCGCTTGTTCATGGAGATGCAGCAACAGTTACATTCAATGGAAAGGTTTGTCATGTGATGTATCTGTTATGTTCGATTTTCAAATGTGAAATGATGTCAAAATCAGACGTCGAAGGTCCGATTTTGAAACCTTTTATCTTCAAAACCTCTTTTTACCTAGAAAAGTCATTTCACAAAGAATTCTATTCAAGTTTTCGACCAAATCTAGTCAAATCAAACACAATTCTAGTTTTCTTCAGCACTTTAACGAAAGATTTTTCTTAAAACTATCGAAATTACGTCTTTTTTATTTATTAATCAAATTTCAAATAATAGTTTTCAAAAAGACTACAGAAGAAATGAATCTTTTTTCATTTTTAAAGAAACTTGTGTAAAAAAACTATAATTTGTTTATTAATTGACTGACCGCAAAGGATAACGACAACTTTTTGGAAAAGTCTCTAGCAAATAGAAGTGCCAAGTGTTATATAGAGAATTGTAGCCCTTAATCTTGGCTACGTTTCTCTAACAAGAACTTCCCGATTCAACTTATACAACTGATTTAACAAGCGTTTGAAGGAGCGCTAGTTGGTAACTCATCTCGAAACTGTCATTTAGCCGTGGCTCTATTAAAAATTGTTAAGAAAAGCTTTTCAATATTTGAGGAAAAAGGGAAAAAGGTGAAAATTGAGTATTTTCTATATTCAGTTGATAGGTGTATCTGAAATTAGGGCTACAATTCTCTATATAACACTTGACACTTCTAAAAGTCACCCGACTAGCGATCATTCAAACGCTTGTTAAATCAGTTGTATAAGTTGAATCGGGAAGCTTTTGTTAGAGAAACGTAGCCAAGATTAAGAGCTACAATTCTCTATATAACACTTGACACTTCTAAAATAAGTTATTTGCCAGATACTTTTCCAAAAAATTGTCGCTATACTTTCCAGTTATCCTGTAATTCTAATGCAAAACATTATTCTGTTAAAAAGGTTTTAAAATCGAAAGTCCGTTTTGAATGGTTTCAAAAAACGGACGTATTATATCAATTTTGAAACCCTTTACAGGCGTCTGATTCATCAAATGGAGATGATTCAACAACAACGAAAAACATGAAATATCACAAAAGCGGAAGTTCTGTGAGGAAAAGCACAAAGAGTAGTATAGCCGAATCACCGGATAGTGAGGTATAGGAAGCAATAATCGAAAAATTCATGCGCTAACTTTAGAACCCATCAGCCGCATTGAGAAAACGAGAGAAAATCAGTGTAGCGAAAGAGAAAAGAGCAGCAAAAACAATAGCTGTCATCATTTTTGTTTTCGTCTTCTGTTGGTTACCATTCTTTTGTGCCTATGTGATCGTTCCATTTTGTCCGAGTTGCTCGCTACATCCAAAGGTCAGTTTCTAATTGTTGGAAAAGAAATAAGCTCACTTAAACACTTAACAAAAACACTTAAAAGAGCTTGAACCTTTCAGGCAATAAGAGCTAATATAAACATTTAGAGCTAATATAAACATTTCAATTTTCCAGGTCGAACAAGCCTTTGTCTGGTTGGGCTATATCAATTCTTCATTGAATCCATTTCTATATGGGATTTTGAATCTCGAATTTCGACGTGCATTCAAGAAGATTCTTTGCCCAAAAGCTGCACTTAATAGTAAAAGACGAAGATCAGCTGGACATAAATAAAATCAAATAAATATTGGGTTGTCTAGTTATGAATGCGCGTTTTTACGATTTTGTAAGTTTCTCAAGATATCGAACTGATGTATATGAGTGTTATATATCATTCGAAAGCTGAAGGTCTCCTCTACATTTTGGAATAGAAAAGTTGTTGAATTTATTCAACTTTTTGGGAAATTGACTGCACAAAGGGAGAGGTCGTTTTCAAAACAACCCATTTCAGCTTAGATATTCTTCAAGTTTTATGGTATAAAATAACCGCCTAGAAAAGAATAGAAAAGTAAAGATGCTCTGAAATTGTTATATTTTAAAAAAGTTGTATTGAAATATCTATTGGCCAAACATCAAACGGTTAACTCAATTTAAGCGGAGCCAAAACTTGATCCAAAGACACTCTTCCATTTTTTGGCCACCTCTTCTTCTGTGCAGTCAATTTGCCCAAAAGCTGAACAAATTCAGAAACTTTTTATATCAAAATGTAGAGGAGATCTTCAGCTTTCGAATAATACTCATATGTATCTTTTTGTTGATTTCGGTATCTTGAGAAATTTACAAAATAGAAAACGCGCATTCATCACTGGACAACCCAATAGAAATGAAATGATATGAAAGTTAACTTTTCCGTGATCTCTTCTCTATATAGTTCTTGTACGGGTTTATTGGTTTCATGAGTCAAAAATTTAATGTATTTGATTGTAATTGTTCTTTTTTTTTCGGGTCATTTCACTCTACTCCCTTTGCCTTCTTGATCCCGGTGCGAATACCCAATACAAATTCACTGCTTTGAGAAATTTACAATAAAAGTTTATAACATATATTAGAAATGAAACGCAATCAAAATTTATTATGTATTAGGGTGGTGCAAAAGAAACTGCCGATTTGACGGTAAATTCAAAAAAAAGATGGCATTCGATGGTGACATGATCACAATGGAATATTTTCGCAAGATTTCGAGCAGATTGGCATGGATCGGCCTGAATAACGTCCCTCAGCTTGGCTTCGTTCACGACTTCTGGCCTCGAACCGTGCTCGTAATCTTCCAAAGTCTCGTCTCCCTCTCGGAATCGTTGAAACCAAGTCTGACACTGCCTGAGAGACAAACTGCCATCTCCAAAAGCAGCACAGAGAGAACGATGCGATTCGGCAGCAGACTTTCCAATTTTGTAGTTAAAATGTAATGCTGCTCGTAGCACAAACTTTTGCTCGACCATGATCTAAATAAAAAATATAAGCATTTTTAAGTAAAATAAACAACAACCAAAAAATTCAAATGTCGAAATAAATAGCAAAGAAATACGCGAACAAAACATAAAAAAATAATGCCGTTAGCATCGCTCGTTTCTGATAAATGAGATCTGATACCCATCGGCAGTTTCTTTTGCACCACCCTAATAATACTTTATATAAAAAAATAAAACAGCTTGTAAGTCAGCCTGCGGTATGACAGCAGAGATCAATAGGCTGTCCAGAAAGTCTTTTCGTTCCTTTTCGCACTTTCGTTTAAAACTAACAAAGGCACCTATTGAAATACGGTTTTTTCCATTAGAAAGACCACTTATTTTTCTGCAAAATAACATTAAAACGGGTTTAAAATGTCTTAGATCTGGGTTTGTCTGGATTTGAGACAACAAGTAGTCCTTATTTCAAAACACTTGCATTGTTTGGGCGTTTTGGGATTTCTTATTTCTTTTATTTACTACTTCTTTTACCAATCTGTGCAAATTTGCCAAAGGAACATTAATCATATTATGCTATTTGAGTTCGATAAAGGCTCAGCTTCAAGCCTAGCCCTAGATCACATAATAAGTTATATTGCCATGACTCTCTAAGACTACCAGATACTTATGGACTACCAGATACTTATCTTTCACAAAAATGGGGACAAATCTTTGATCAAAAGCGACTGTCCCAGAAGACCGGTTGAAGTTGAAATTAGAGCTATTAAGCGAAAAAAACTGGATATCGACAGCATCAGTTCTTGTAATGATCAAGTGATCAAAGATCGGGTCGAGACTTTTATGGTGGCACCTCAACTCAAGGATTGCGAGAATATTCGGTTTAACATCTGAAGATTCAGTTAGCTTTTGCTACAACGCATTGTTGAAGTCTGAAATCAAAAACGTTGCTATGCATACTTATTCATCGCGTTGCATGAATTTGATTATCCAACAGATCATCACCAATGGAATCCCGAGCAAGAACCCTGAGGCTGCTATTTTCCCTTTTTTATTTGGATTTTCCTTCACGATTGATCTCTCACAACTGGAAGACTACACGTGAACTTGGAAGAAGACCTTGGTGTGAGTCATTTTACAGTAGAACATCATTTGAATCAATTGGGTTATAGATATCTTTTGGGGCAATGGGTTCATGCCTTAACTGACCCTATAAAAGGCCAACGTCTAACTATTGCTGCATCTCTGCTCTCACGATATGAGCACAAATCATTTTTACTCAGGCTTGTTACAAGAGACGAAAAATGGATAACTTCCATAAACTTTCAGAGAAAAAGGCAATCGGTTGGGCTTTTAGGTAATAGATCTTTAGATAATATAGATCTTTAGTCAATATAGATCTTTAGATAATATAGATCTGTTATCTACTCATTTGTAAAAGGTACCCTATTAAAGCGGAAGGAAGTCCTCGAATCGAGTCCGATGAGATCCCCAATCGAATGAATGAGATCAAGAAGAAGAAAAACTAGTGGGTGGTCCTTTTGGCGAAGATATTTAGGTGAAAAGAAAAAAGGGAGAGCTCTCTTCCCATTCACGGGTATCCATTGGGATCTTCACAGAAAAAGAAGGGTGGAAGAGGATGGATGGAGGCTATAGGTGAGCTGGTCTGTTTGCGCACTGTGACCCACCCCCTAGGGGAAAAGAAAAAAAATGAGGGAAAAGGGGGAATCGTTGGGGTGATCAGAAGAGGAAAGAATCACTTTTTGTGCTTTTTCAATCACTATAGAGCTTGATCTGAAGACTAATTGATTTTTTGGTTTGCCCATCAGAGTTCTGCAAGTTGCTAGAATAAAACCATTCTTCTCGTTCACATATCTAACAATCAAAGCCTTTCATTCTTTCCTCTAAACAGGATCCATTCATTTCTCGTTGCTCCTCATTGATTGCCGCAATTTACTGTTCTCAGAAGTCTTTGAAGGCACAAATTCTCACAAGATTTGTCCTTGACTAGATTTTTCCTTGACTTGACTCACCTAAACTCACAAACAATCAACAACTTAAATTAAACAGTCCTAGACTGAAGATGCGAATCCGTAAGATGTCCCTTTTTTCTTTATTTGGCCTTCTTCTGGAAACAGGTTTGTATAGAAGTTTTGTCTGCTTTTTTATTTGTTTTCAATTGCATTTAGTTTCTCAAACAGTGGATATTCGTTGTTATTCATGCACTTCGATGGAAGCCGAACAATTATTAAGTGATGTATCGGATCCAAATTGGAGAAAGTAAGAAAAGAAATCAGTTAGATGACAAATAAAACTTTTTAGATGGTTAGAAAATGTTCGCAATGTTCCGTATACGGAGAGCTGTAAGGATTATTTCCAGGTGTGACAAGGAAAGCTCTAGATTACATTAGAAAGCTTTTAGTTAGATCGAGCGATTCGTTCAGGAGTGAAAAATCAGAATTGCGAAGATGGAGCTTGTATGAAAATGTGGTTTCAAGAAGCAAATGGTGAGTCATCGATGGCTTTTGAAATCTGAGTTTGTGAATGAATCGATTTTCAGGTGAGTCTCATGTTTGGCGAAGTTGTATTCCTCATGCTCGTGATCAAATCAGAAGCGATTGTACACGGGTGACAACAAGTCAAGGTTTGTCTTCATTTTACAACAATTCCTTTCTTGTACCTGATTCAAAAACTCTACCAGTTGTTAGGTTGATTGGTTTATTAGGTTAGGTTGGTGGTGGTTTAGGTTGGTGAATAGGTTGGTGATTAGGTTGGTGATTAGGTTGGTGAATAACTCTTTTCGTTCCTTTTCGTCTTCCGTTTACCAACTTTTGCTTTACTACCAACGTTTACCAACTACCAACAGACGTTTACCAACGTTTACCAACAACCAACCAAAACCAATTTTCTTATGGTTTGTTTCATAAGCAGAATAAGCTTTCTCAAGAATTGACCTTTTCATAGTCTCCGTTGTCCATTTGATCTTTCAGATCCAAACTATAAGTAAAGAGGCTAAAAAGAGGTCAAAAGGTGGTGTCCATCCATCCCAGCCATATTTACCCCTCGAATTACGTATTCTTTCCCCTACACCCAAACACAAATATCATCGGTTCTTTCCAAAAAGAGCCTTTGAAACATGTTGCGAAAAAACATTGACCGTGAGAATGGGGGAATTCACTGAGAAAATGATCTCTCGAACTTGTCAAGGCCAAAAAGTGTCTGTGGAGGAGATATTCTTTTAGTTCTAGAAGAGATATTCTTCTAGTTCTAGAAGAGATATTTTTCTAGTTCTAGAAGAGATATTTTTCTAGTTCTAGAAGAGATATTTTTCTAGTTCTAGAGGAGATATTCTTCTAGTTCTAGAGGAGATATTCCTCTAGTTCTAGAGGAGATACTCCTCTAGTTCTAGAGGAGATATTTTTCTAGTTCTAGAAGAGATATTTTTCTAGTTCTAGAGGAGATATTCTTCTAGTTCTAGAGGAGACATTCTTCTGGCTTCAGCACAAATTTTCAGGTGAAATGGAAGTGTGCACTTGTACGGGAAATCTTTGCAATCTTTCAACAACCACTCAATTCCTTTTTCCATTGAGTACATTGATTTTGTATCTATTACTCAAGTGAATCGCAGTTCTTGAATAAAATTCTTGAATAATTTCTTTATTTCCGAGAAAAATTTGGACAAAAATTGTACCCAATTTGGTATACCCAAAGTAGTATTAACTATTGATATAAAAGAAAATGAATAAATGAAAATATGCAAAATAAAGGGAAAAACGAATCTTGAACAAATGGGTAAGTGAAATTGTTGTATGGGCAGTTAATAGCAAAAAAAAAATGGGTCGAGTCACAAAGCACCAAAAATCTATGGGTTTATAAGAGAAAAGTAAACTTTAAAGATCTTATTCACACAAAAAAAAACATTTGGGATTTCAAGAAAATCTGCTCTAATGTCAGAATATCAAAAACTCGATTAAGATTATCAAAAGCTGAACTCGATTACGAGTTCAATTTCTTCCAAAAACCCATCCGAATCACAGTCACAGAAAACAAAGCACATTTCTGAACAAATGAAAGTTTCTTTCATGAGCTTCATTGAGTATTTTAAGTAATAATTAAGAAACATTTTGTTGAAAGCTCTCAATTTCACATTTTTTTCAAGAAATTTCAAGAAAAGCTGTTGACAAATGGGCAATGATAGAAATAGAAGAGTAATGATAGAAATAGAAGAGTACTCGTATCACAGGTAAGCAACTGGAGGGTACTAGCGAGAAAATTTTGGGAGAAATATTTCGATCACAATTAGATTATGCTTTAGAGAAGAAAAATGCTTGCTTACAATTAGATTACATGGGAGAATTATTGGGATTTCTCAAAAATGGTATATAACTTCTGAAGGTTCTCTTTCGATTATTTCGATTCTCGGTGTTATCGGGTGCAGTGAGAAGGCCTAATTGTGATGGAGTGAGAAGGCAAAGTGCTGAAGCAACGGCTAAGCCCGAGGTACCGTTCGGTGTTGTTTGACGACCACCTAAAAGAGTTCTTTCAAAGAATTGATGATGCATTTGGGTCAAAAAGTTTATTCATCATCTAGTCCGAAAAAGAAACCTGTCGGCAATCGAACGGCCAGTGTATAAACGCCAGCTTTATACCCAGAACATGGTTCAATCGAGATTGGTGTCGCCACGAGATTTGTATATGGATTGGTGAGTTCGAGTCGAACCGATGAAAATGGACGAGAAGCCATCTGGAAGAAAATAGAATATTTTGATTTATTTGGTTAATTTGCTTGATTTGCTTGATTTGTTTGTTTTAATTTGCCTAAAATCGGTTTCAACAGATGCACAAATCATTTTTGACTTGGCTGCCTTTTTCGGAAGACATCTGTTAGCTGTAGACTCGAAAATTTGTAACTGGAGGCATTCTGGGATGGAGAATCTGAATCCGTTATTACTTTTTGAGCAACTTACATGTTCAATTTCGTTGATTCGATTCTGATTTCGTCGATAGACTTCGATTCGGAGTTTAATCATCCACAACAAACCGGCAACAACAAGAAGTACGATGAAGCAACTGAAAGTGAATAGATTTATAGATTTATGTAAGTAGTGTGCAGAAAAGTGGCTCTTTTCTGTGAAATGCCCAGATTGGAGTATTTACCGTATTCTCTCTAATAGTAGTGCGCACTACTATTTTTTCAACCCCCTCTCGAACCGCAATACTATTAGAGAGTGCACTACTATTAAAGAGTGCACTACTATTAGAGAGAATACGGTAAGTAGGATTGGAGGCTTTTATTGTTGTTCTCACCCAAATGTGAACAAAATGCTATGCATCCAAATATGTGAATCAAATAATTGATGATCGCCTGATGGAGGCGGAGTCGACATTGAATTATAGGGGCCAATTTGGAGGCATTTGGGATGAAATGAATACAAACAATTGATCGGATCGAATTCATTCGTGCCCACATTTGGGAGAATATCCATTATATGAGAATACTCTTAAAGAATCACATGGGAATTCGGGAAAAGCCTGAGAAAGAATGGGATTCGCATTGACCCACACAGTTATTGCATCTATTTGCCTGAGCTTTCTTCTCTCAAATATTCTATTTACTTTCGTTGCTTCTTCGATTGAAAAGTTTTCTGAAGAGATAGTTTTCATTGGGAGCGTTTTTATCAATAGGCTTCAGCAATTTACATTCGAATTTTGGATGATCAGCAATTGAATCCTTGGATAATTGCTGGTTATAGTTATATAGAGAATTTTTCCGTGTTCCAGAAAATCATTATGAATATTTAATTATCAAAAGCTTGTTTTTGTTTTGGCTGTTTTGGCTGTTTTAATTTGGCTGTTTTGGCTGTTTTTAATTCTAAGCCAAACTAACTATTGGTTTGTCCAGTTGTCGTTTTTTACTATTTTGTAAATTTCTCAAGATACCGAAATCAAGAAAAAGATATATATGAGTATTATTCGAAAGCTGAAGATCTCCTCTACATTTTGATATAAAAAGTTTTTGAATTTGTCCAGCTTTTGGGCAAATTGACTGCACAGAAGAAGAGGTGGCCAAAAAATGGAAGGGTGCCTTTGGATCAAGTTTTGGCTCCGCTCAAATTGAGTTAACCGTTTGATGTTTGGCCAATAGATATTTCAATACAACTTTTTTAAAAATATAACAATTTCAGAGCATCTTTACTTTTCTTTTCTTTTCTAGGCGGTTATTTTACACCATAAAACTTGAGGAATAGCTAAGCTGGAATGGGTTTTTTCGAAAACGACCTCTCCCTTTGTCCAGTCAATTTGCCCAAAAGCTGAACAAATTCCAAAGCTTTTTATATCAAAATGTAGAGGAGATCTTCAGCTTTCGAATGATATATAACACTCATATACATCTGTTCGATACCTTGAGAAACTTACAAAATAGTAAAAACGCGCATTCATAACTGGACAACCCAATATAAATCATTTGAAACGGTCCACTGGGTACGGAGGAGTAATGCGCACAGACAGACAGAGGTCTTAGTTCCTTTATTTATAGTAGACATAGTTAAAATTTCTCAGGTTTTTCAATAATTTCTGTAAGCACTCACGCAGCAAAGATGACAAAGAAGAGAACCCAATTGATGGGAGGAGATTGGGCAAAAGAGACTTGGATCACGATTGGAGTTGTGAAATTGGAGACACGGACCTGAAAGAAAGGTAAAATTTGGAATAAATGTGATACTAATTCAGAATATGAATGCCTGCATAATATGCTACGAGACTTACATAGAATGTTGTGTTCGCTTCAGTTCCAAAAGCGTATCCTGGATCATTTGCTAGATAGACTCTTCGTAGTCCCTTTGAGTCACAGGTTGTGTGCACCATCATTTGTTTTGTATGGCCAAGTCCTGAAATTTTTTGCCTAATAAGGGAAAGGCACCGAATGAAGCTGGCATCAAGTTCTGCAAAAACTAAAAACGGATTTGAGATCCCATGACAATTCTATAAGATGGTCTCGAGTCAAAAAAACCAGCTTGACTCTGCCTTTCCTTTGTAAGTCTAAGTCTTTTCTGACTAACCAAAATTTCCATCGTAAACATTGCTTGTGAGGTTGAGTGCCACCAATGCTGGCGCTCCTTCTCCTTCACAACTGATTTGGAACGTCACATCGGTGTCTCTCTAGAAATTTCGATGTCCAATATTATACTTTTGTCCAATACTATACTTTTGTCCAATATTCCAATCTAATTTCCATTATCTTCAAACCTTGTATGGAACGGAGAACAAAAAGATCTCATCCACATGTTTATCGCTGTTGTCATTCTTCAGTTTGAATGTGAAGATGAAATCGACCGCCAGCTCATCTGAAAAAAGACAATTAGCTTTACAGCTTTACAGCTTTACAGCTTTACAGCTTTACAGCTTTACAGCTTTACAGCTTTACAGCTTTACAGCTTTACAGCTTTACAGCTTTACAGCTTTACAGCTTTACAGCTTTACAGCTTTACAGCTTTACAGCTTTACAGCTTTACAGCTTTACAGCTTTACAGCTTTACAGCTTTACAGCTTTACAGCTTTACAGCTTTACAGCTTTACAGCTTTACAGCTTTACAGCTTTACAGCTTTATAGCTTTACATACATTTGCAAATCTCGCCAGAAGTTATATTTCCAATGTATTTTGCATCACATCTAAATTGAGAAATTTCTAAGGAATTTTGCGCTTTCAAACCGATCACAATGTTCACCAACGACTCCTTTCGTGGTACAATAACAAGCACCACTTTGGTTGTCACAATCATCCGCTTGGCCATTGCATTCACAAACTAAATTGGGTACTGAAATGAACGGCGATAATTCCCGTTTACTCACGTTGACACGTTCCTCCATTCCTTGCGTCTCCGAAGAATCCCCTTGAACAGCTCTGACAATGATCTCCCGACGTATTGTTTGCACATTCACCACATTCAAGTTTCGCGAATTCGTTTGTTGGCTTCAAACATTTTGAATGGCCGTTGCATTGACAATCTAAAGAGTGATACTTACGAGGGAACCACATATACTTATGGACTTGCCCTCTAAAATTTGTGGATAAGTAGAATCGACTCGGAACAACATATTAAAAATTCAGCTGCAAAGCTCCAAGATTACGGTGGTTATAGTGTTTTTAGTATTAGAGTTTCGTCTTTCGATAGTTAGCACAATGGATTCTTTATGAGGCCGCCACAAGGTGACCTTCCAGCGGCTTCTCTGAACTAGTGGGTCGTGTCCTAGCCTACGGAGCTTATGAAGTTTGTTCTGGCTTGGGTTCGAACCCTCTCGCAACCAATTTTCTTGCTTTTTTGGAGATCCTTTTTTGACGCATTTTCATCATATATTTAGGTTTATTACAGTTGTTAGATTATTTTACAGCTGTTAGCTAGATCAGCCATTATAGAAACAGGGAAAAGCAAGTACCTGGACAATCTGTGAAGAACCATTTCTCTGGACTCGACAGTGTTTTGTTTTGTGGACCATCAGAGCTCCCTAAAAAAATTTATTATTTCTATTTCTAATAGGCTTACTAATTTTTGCAACTTATACAACTATATACAACTCAGTCTTCTACAACTCAGTCTTCTACAACTCAGTCTTCTACAACTCAGCCTCATACAACTCAGTCTTCTACAACTCAGTCTTATACAACTCAGTCTTATAGAACTCAATCTTCTACAACTCAGTCTTCTACAACCCACCTTGCACGCATTCACCCAAACCAGTCTCCGATCCATCATCAATCCAGCCACATCCAGGCTGAGTTTGACATTCTTGACAAGTTTTATGGTCTTCACAAATTGCTGATTCTAAACATTCATCGATAAATTTGGGTCTTGAGAAAGTTTGTAAACGTTTCCTCCGTAAGAACAAACCTTTTTGACACTTGTTCGATTGATTCACCCATGATTGACATTGTCCATAGGCAAAGGCGATCGTGTAAGCGTCTTGGTTTATGCATCTGAATTGAAAGAGTGCTTTTTTTAGACTGCAAGCTCGATGAATCTCCTTGAACAAACCTTTCTGTTGATGGACACCACATACATCCAGTTCTTTTTGTCTCATCCATACAATCCGAGCAATTGTTTGCCATTTCACAAGCTGCCTGCCCAGCCACCGCACAAAGAGTCACATTTGGGATACGGGGAATCGGGGCGAGAAATGAAAAATGAGAACGGGGGATGATATTCGCGCCTTGTGCTCCGGCTGTCACTCGCTCGAATTCTTGCTCTTTTCTCTCGTTTAGAAGGAATACTAAATAAAAGTTTAAATATGATATCCTTTGATGACTAGCCTTCTTCTTCAACCGTGATACATTGCGGTCGGAGCGAATCCATATACCAATTGCAATGAGGAAGCAACTTGCACGCATAACAGTTTGCAGCCATTGAACAGGAGCGAGGGGAAGCGGGAGTCGAGGAACCACACTTTTCCCAAGTTGTCAACATTGACTAAAATAGATAGGCACTATTAGGGTGGTAGAAATCAAGCCAGCGTTCACATCTCTTTCCAAAAATAAAAGGATTGCAAGCCTCAGCCAATAAGTGTTGTATACTGTTTGAAAGCCCTGAATCTTCTCTAAAAAATAATACAAAACGATTTTGAATTGAAGCTACAAAGCTACAAAGAAGAGATAAGATATTGTTTACGAAATTAGAACCAGAAATGTATTGAAAACATTGATTTGGGACCAGAAAAACATTACACTGTCAATCATCACTCGTCAATAACACTGTCAATAACACTGTCAATTGATTCCCCAACTCCAAAAACCCCGGCTACAATTTTTCTGTTCAAAAATTTGAAGTTGAAGTCAAAAAAGAAGATAGCTGTGTGTTCCCTGTATGCCAGCACAATCGCGCTCGATCTGGCATACGACGCTTGGTGATATACTTCCTTTTCACTCTCCGAATCGGAAGCATCCATTTTGGGTCATCCGGTAACCAATCCGTTGTCTGCCCCATGTGGTCACCGCTTCCCAAAACTTAACCCTGGTTGTAGAACTGGTTAACCCAGTTCCGGCCCATTTTGACCATGATGGCAGGTTCTCTGTCGGTCGAAATGGGATCCCAAGTGCCTGTAAAAGGGTGCTGAAGGGAGCCGCTGTGAATTTTTGGATTCATCCCAAGGATTTCGGTCCGCAGGGGCAGCAAGAAACTCATGAAACAAAACGATTAAACGGGCTCAAGCATTGGAAAATACCAGAGATGATGTTGGCCTAAAACCGAAAGCTAAAATCGCCGTTTGTGGCCTGAAATGGCCTAAAATGAAACTTTTAGGAAAAACAGAAGCTCTAGAAGGCGAATAAACAAAAAGAATTCTTTTATGTTAGCTTCATATTATTTAAAAAAAAATACCGACTGGGGCTACCAGTGGTGAATTTTATCGCATACACGAAATATATCGATCACAATACAACGACACACACAATACTAGGCTATATCTTAACTTAACCCACGTCATGACAGACGGCTCCCTAACCCTAAGCTCAATGGGGAACTAAATAGCTTTTTTGGTGGTGAAGGGAAGATGACGATGAAGGAGTGGCTTGTCACTTTAAAGAACTGGGGCCACAACCACCAGACTGCCCTCCAGAAAACCTCTCAACCCGAAGGGAAAGGAAATCCGAAGGGGGTGACCATGTCGCATGTGGGGTTCGAACGCTCGACCTTCCGATTAAGATAAAAGACACTTAACCAGTCAGCCACACGTGCTCTATAACTTTAATTGGCGGTATTTTCTAACGGAAAACCCGGGCACGGCTATTACCAGAAACACATTTTCCGGAAAATGATTATTTTTGACCTTTCAACTTAAAAGTCATCCAAGCCTTCAATAATGAATTCAATTCAAAATACTTTGCACTATTTTGTAGAGGAGATTCAGGGCTTTCGAACAGTATACAACACTTATTGGCTGAGACTTGAAATCCTTTTATTCTGAGGCTTGCAATCCTTTTATTCCAACACACTCACTTGTGCATCGAGACATTCTTGATCTGATGGTAGACATTGATTCCCAGCTGAGCACCATCCACATCCATTTTGTGATGTACAAGCAACACAATCATTTTGATCTTCGCATGATGATAATGTCTTTTGTCTGAAATTTCTTCGATCATTGATTTCATTTTGGTTTTATTTTGGTTTCATTTTGATTTCACCTTGTTTCAGGGCATGTCACTCTTCCAGTTATCTCATTTTTGATCATCGAGATGAAATTTTGCTTGAAGCTTCGTTGGTTGTCGAACTTTTGACATTTCGAATCAACATAGACACACCTGTGAAAGTTTTTATAGTGCTTTTTAAATAAAGACTCACCTCAAACCGCCCGTTATTTTTTGGCAATCTTCTGGTCGATTCGTTGAAGAACAATCGGCTGAAGATCAAACAATTCGTGCTGATCAAACAATGCTGATCAAAAGTCTCAAACCTGGCTTAAACTCATAGATGTTTTCTCTCATCGTCCCATTGAAGCCACCAATCACAAATAAATGTGGGTCTTTTCCTGCAATAACAGCTGAATGTCCATATCTCGCCAATTCGGAGATATTCGACCATTTTGAATCTGGTTGAATCCATTGTCCACAAGCTGAAATGAGCATAAGCAAGGTTTAATCAAAAAGAATATACTCTAGTTATTATATTAATGAATTGGTGAATAAGTGAATGAGGTGAACGAACGAAGGAACGTAAGGAACAAAAAGACTCATTCAAAAACCTAAGCATTTGTATTCCCTGATCTAACCTGTATCATACACGAGGATTTGATCATTAAAACATTCATCCGAAGTTCCTCCATTTCCTTTATTCCCTCCCGTAATGATCATCATGTGATTTAAAAGAACAGCTCTGTGAAGAGTGAGTGGGAAATAGAATGTGCCGGTTGAGGTGACTTTTGCCCTGAATTTGATATCAATACAATTTTCTTTGAACGACTAACATGGTATCGGCTTTGATATCAAATTTGATGAGATCATCGGTGTTGTTGCTCGATTTTGTCGTCCCACCATAAATCAAAGCATACTAAACGAATTCTTGAGATAGGGGCACACTTTGGCTCTATCCAATTGCATCAATTCAAATAAAACAACGACCGAAAAATATTCCGGTGGGCTTTATGTTGCAAATGTGTTAAATCTGCTTACAGGTGATGCTCCAGTCTCATCAACGACAACCATTGAATGCCCAAATCGGCCATGTACTTTGTGTTCGGTCGTCATATTCCACGTCTTCGTTTCTGAAAATCGTCCCATTTTCCTCAAAAATTTTAAGCTTTCCCTTACCAAAATCGTAAATTTGAACATAATGCACATAGCCGATAAATGGATTGTAACCAAATACGATGTACATCTTTTGACCAACAACATAAGCTGTATGGCCGGCAACAGCTAGTGGAGCTCTCTAAAATTAAGCTCATTTATGGGAAGGACTTGGGAAATGGGAAGGGCTTGGGATTTGCTAAAAAATAATCAGCATAATCATCTAACTAGCATAATCATCTAAATCAGCAGAATCATTTAAATTCCTACCTCTAAATCAGTGTGATTCCCATCAGAGATCAACTTCCATATTCTGTGCTCCATATCAAATGCCCAAAACTCGTTCGTCACTTCTCGTCCATTTTTCACTCCACCAAACATATATAGCGTGTTCTAGAGGTTTGAATTTTAATCTATTCAACTTTTTAACAATACCTTGAGCTTGACGATAGTGTGATCATATCTGTTCTCTGGTTCGGGTGATGAGGCATTCAACTGGATCGTTATCCAATTTCTTGTGGTCACATTGAATGTTACGATCTGAAAATGAATAAACATGAAAATTGATTGCTAGAAAACGGTTCTTATTCAGGAATTTTTTCAAGTCAAGATCAAGATCAAGAAGTCAAGAAAGTCAAGAAAAGCCGACAAAAAGGTCAAATTTTATATCCCAAATATCTCGTGCTACAGAAGCGCTCTGGAAAAACTAAAAGCCGATTCAGAATCCCAGATAAAAACTCTATCAGATCATGTGAAAACTCGAACTTGACTTGTCAACATTCCCTTGTGAGTAACCCTAACGTTTAACTTGCTTTTGAATACCTACCATGTCTTGTTTCACTCCCGAAAAGCTATATCCACCCACAGTCCAGATGATATCCAATAAATTCTGCGATGATCCATCAGCTATCGATGCATGAGAGGCTCTAAAATTACATTTTGTTTATTTGGATATTTACAACTTTACAAACCTTCCAGGTAAAGGATCTCCTTTGATAATGACGGGATCCGAAACTGGCAAGAGTTTTGACTGTTGACAGTATAAGCCTGAAATTTCATCAAAGATTAGGGTTGCTTATTCTTGGTCGCATTTTCTTTGGTTTTCTTTAGCTTTTTCTTAAACTTACCATGCCAATTGCTTGTACAATTGCAAGCATCATTCTGACATACTCCACCATTCAGACAAGGATCTTTCAATTGTTTTTCATCACAATATCTAAACAAGCAAGGTATCTTTTATATATCTTTTATCAAGTTTTATCTTAGTAATCATTACTAAACTTGTTCACTAGCAAGCATGCACTTTTGGCATGCACTAGTTCCCCATTTCGCGAAAGAAAAGAAAGGGTTGACTGTGCCAGAGAGCATGCGTTTATTCCAGAGGTATTCCAAAAAGCCGGAGGCTATGGCTAGCCAGACCAAAGCCAGACCAAAGCCAGACCAAAGCCAGACCAAAGCCAGACCAAAGCCAGACCAAAGCCAGACCAAAGCCAGACCAAAGCCAGACCAAAGCCAGACCAAAGCCAGACCAAAGCCAGACCAAAGCCAGACCAAAGCCAGACCAAAGCCAGACCAAAGCCAGACCAAAGCCAGACCAAAGCCAGACCAAAGCCAGACCAAAGCCAGACCAAAGCCAGACCAAAGCCAGACCAAAGCCAGATCAAAGCCAGACCAAAGCCAGATCAAAGCCAGATCAAAGCCAGACCAAAGCCAGACCAAAGCCAAACCAAAGCCAGATCAAAGCCAGACCAAAGCCAGACCAAAGCCAAACCAAAGCCAAACCAAAGCCAGATCAAAGCCAGATCAAAGCCAGATCAAAGCCAGGCCAGGCCATAAGCCAGACTATATTGGTTTCTGGTTTGGCCTGGGTTGGAATTCTTCTTCTAGGAACAGCCCTACTTTATTCCTTTATTTGGCCATAAAGTACAAGCACTTTGGCTATTTGTTCAGCACTTTGGCAATTCTTCAAACTTACGCTATTTGGCAATAGGGTCCAGTGAAGCCGGGATTACAAACGCATCCGAGTTTTGGTTTACAAGTACCCTGTCCACTGCAATTGTATGGGCATCTGAATTGTGATATAAGGTTGTGTAGCAGATTTTCAAACTTTGTAGAAAACAGCATTGCTTACCTGTCAAAATCAAAGCTGATATTGAAACCGGGATAGTTGGCGGCCATATCGGAGACGAAATAGAGAACGGCACTGCCGGATGGGGCCATCATTTCGATTGGTTCTTTCAATCGACCACTAAAAAGATAATACTTGAATAAAATAGACAAATCTGACTATGAGCTCCAAAAAAACTTCTTTAACTTACCATAGTGCTCCTAATTGTTGATTGTAGATGCCATTTCCATCATAGAGATAAACGAAATCCCATCCGCATTCAGTGTGCAACGATTTGAATTGAAAAGTTGTTGGGAGTGAAGCCTAAATTTGCTGTTGAATCTCACAAAAGAATTGTGTGGAATCAATTGGATTCATATTTGAAATCAAATAGAATCTTGAGTCAATTTGATTCAGGCTTTTCTCACCCCATCATGTTCGATGATCCAGGTGCACCGTTGCAGTGATTGATAACTTTTTGGCCCATCCAGGATTTCCGTAGATTGATTGGTGATCCTAAAGATGGAAAAAGGATTATTTTATCTTGATCTATTTTGATTGATTACTTGATTCTCCCATAACATTGATCACATTGATCTCCACTCCATCCCGGAAAACAAACGCATTTCCCTTCAACACAAGGACCTTTGAAGCAACCATTACAAGTATGGGTTAACACCTGAAACACGTTGGATTTGCGTGAAATATTTTAAAAGTTGATTAGATTATACTTGTCTAAGTTTAAATTTAACTTAAAAGGTGAATCCAAATGTGAAATTGAATTTAATCCAACGATTTCATCACAACTTCATCACAACTACGCTTGTTGTGATGAAAGAGTTTCGTTTTAAGCATTTTACCGAACCTTTTCGACATCAAAGCGAGCTTCAGAGTGAGCTGTAGAAAGCAGAAGGAGGGATGAAAATATGAATAGAAATAGAAAAGGAAAAAGAAATATTTGTGGGGCACATAGGCCCCAAGCTTGCCGCATCAGCACATAAGAGATTCCTGAAAATATTAGAAATTCTTCGATTGCAATGATTTGTAAAAAGAGAACAAAAGAGAAGACAAAAGAGAACACACAAAAACAAGGGAATCATGTGAAAAAGATAAGAAAGACTCGTAGAAATGAGAACAGGAAAAAGAAAAGAAAATGAGGTCATATGGGCGTGTGTGCTTAAGCTAGGGAATACAAGAAAATCGATAATTTTCGGGAGAATCACGCCAATTATGAGCAACATCGATTGGTTCTTTGCAGGAGCAGAAGAAAAATAACGGTTATTAAAGAAGAAATGCTTTGTCATAAGTGTATGTCGATTATGAGCATTTCGGAGGAGTTTCTTTGGTTCTTGAGATCTTTTTCCTTTTCACAATCTTGGATAGAATGAGAAGGGAAGGCTCAGAACAAATAACTCGCTTTCTTTTTCTCTCTTTTCAATGGATCTTTTTCTTTTCTTCGATTTTCTTCTCTCTGTACAGTCAATCGATTCATCGAGAGATCTCAAAGACCCGTAGAGATTAGAGGAACGAGCCCTTAAGGCACAGAAAGGAAAAAGAGAAATGGTGAAAGAAATGAGAAGAGACTAGGGAAGGAAAGGGGCTCACCTTGCACTCCACTCATTCACCACAGTCTTTAGATTGTGTCTCTTTTGCATCTCTTTTGCATCTCTTTTGCCTTTGCTGAGAACTCGCTTGTGAGAATAGAGACGCGGAAGAGGGAATACGGTAGATTGAGTGCATTTTAAAGGACAAGCCTCACTGGATGTTGAGCTTTGTCATTGCTAAGCTTTGTCATTGCTAACACGTTTGCTCGTTGGGCAATCTTGTAATGATTTGTATTAGGCCGTCCAGAAATTAGGCTGTCTTTTCGTTTCTTTTCATACTTCCGTTTAAAACCAACAAATTCACAAATTGAACTGTTTTTTTCATTAGAAAGGCCACTTATTTTTCTACAAAATAACATTAAAACGGCTTTCAATGTCTTATGTCTGGATTTTTTTGAGAGCGTTAAGTCGGGTAGTCAAAAAGGGCAACAGCTCGCTTTTTAGACGTGTCAAGCCTTGCGTTTTGCTGGGATAATAAAATTGTTGTTCTTACGATTGTTCTTTAAATTCTGATCAAATAAACTGGTGCATGTGGAACTTCATAAAATAATTTAAAACAATTTCAAAAGGCTACGATTAGGAAAGATCCAAATTTAGGAAAGAGCCAAAGTTAGGTTCTCTAGCCAAATTTTCAGAGAAATTGATTCAGCCAATTTCTTCGTAGAGGTTTGTTTAGATGAATCAGATGTTTTCCCTCAACTCCCAACTCCATCTCCGTTAATCGAACCTTCAACTATTGAAGCAGGTAAATTCATCAAATATTTTGCATCCATTTCAATGCTTTTCTCTAGTTTTAGTCCCGTGGTGGTCAAACAGAATTTTACGAGAAACAATTGATGAATTTGTTATTTTTCAACGAAAGTATGAAAAGAAACGAAAAGACTTTCTGGATAGTCTAATAGTTGAGGAAGAGAAGGAAGAGAGAGTCTATGTTTCTTTTAAAAGGTAAAATCTTTGCACAGAACTCAAAAGCTTGCAACAATTGCACACACAAACTTTCTGCATCATTCACCTTTGAAATCTCAAAAGTAACCTTGATCTATTAGCTATTAACCCCGAATTTCACACAGACAACTTTAAAAGTAAACAACGAAATTGAACAGATGAAATGTAATACTCTGTGGCTATTCAGAAATTCAAACGGACATCAAAGACCGACACAAATCATCAGAAGTGGTTCTCCTTGTGTGTATCGGTCAAAAAACTTCAGAGTCTCTTTATGTCTCTTTATTTTTCTTAAAATTTCGCGCTCGTTTACATAATGGAAAGGGAGGGAGGGGCTTAATTGAAAATTTCCATTTTCTCCTCTTTCGACTGGAGTTTCTATTTGAATTTGAAGAAGAGTTCTTCTAATGGTGATCATTCTCTTGAAAAAAGATAGGTACATTACTTCCAATTATATTTTTTTCTTGTATGTTCAAAGTATTTTCGTACTTAGGTAAAAAAAGCTTATGAAAAGTCGCAGCAATCCTTGAAGAATAAAAAAGTTTCATTCCAAAGTCGAGTTTGTCCGTGATTTCATAGAAAACATTTTATAGAAACGTAGCTTCCGCATTTTAGCTTAGTTCTGACCAACACTAATTGGATGTGGTCATTTCAAAAGCTTTTGAAAAGGATCCTGAGATGCTTAAAGCCAAGGCCAAAGTATCAAAAGGATGCTCAAAGCAAATCCAACCCACAAATGCTCAAAGCAAATCCAACCCACAGATGCTCAAAGCAAATCCAATCCACAAATCATCAATCTCACTAGAGAGCCTGACTTGTGTTCTTCTTCTTGTGTTCATTTTGCGGATTCATTTAGCAAATTTGAGCAAGTCAATGAATTTTTCATGGAAATCGTGTGGATATTGGATGGGATGCGAAAAAAGGAGAGAAGATTTTGACCTTAATCTCCTTTTCTTCTTGAAAGATACTCGGAAAGATGTCCTAACAGCTTCTAATGTAGTAAAGGTGAACATTAACGGTTCTTATATACCATTGGCAAACTGAATTCATGGCTATTTATGTAAAATACATTAAAAAGAACTCTTCTTCGTTCCTCGTTTCAAAATGAATCACTCCTAACATTGATTTCGATCCCCATTCTCATGACTGTCCAGATCTCCTCAAATCCAGATCTCATGACTGTCCAGATCTCCTCAAATGTCCAGACCTCAATCCATTCTCATTCATTTCATATCCTCTCTTTTCATCTTTTATTCTTTTATTATTTCTATATTTTACCCACCTTCTCCCCCAAATTGGCGCCTTTTTCTGAAAAAAAGGAAGGGCCAATTTCAATTTGCACGACCGAAACCCATTTCTTCCTTCACCCTTTCCGATTCTCTTTATTCTCTTTCATTCTGAGTGTCCATCTCTTTTAACCCATCCCGTCCCATTTGTTTCATTGTTCTCTCTTCATTTGAATTTTGTTCATTTTAAATAAAATTTGGATCGAAAAAGTTGCACTCTCTGGTCTTGATAGAAGAAGGAAATTCAACAACAAGCCTAAGCGAAGTCGAAGAAGAAGAAGAAGAAGAAGAAGAAGAAGAAGAAGACGTAGGAGTGACTACGTAGGAATTTGTTGACCAAAGTAACGTTCATGTTTTGGGTTTATGCTTCAAATTTCTTTTCTTTAAGACAAAAGGAGTTCTGTGAGTGACAGTTTGCAGCCAGTTTCGTTTTGTTTTGCAGCCTCGAAACAATTTGAATTTAAACCATTCAATACTTTGTATCATAATAGGTCATATCAAATCAAAAATGTTTTCTAAACCTTTTTCCCCTCATAAACCCCGAATGAAATGAGATTACTCAAAGCTTTGCATAATTCAAATGTTTTTGTTGCTGTATTCCCCTCACTTTCACGAGATTTTACTAATTTGTCAACAGGGAATTGGGTTTTTTTAAGAAAACTTTCGAAATTTTCGTTTTTTAAAATTTTGGCAAAGTATTGAAGATGTTTCCCTGGATTAAAAATGTATTTTATTCTGAGATATTGTTAGACAGATCTGTCATTATCTATAACCAATTCAATAAACCATATTCAGAACATTCACAGTCATTTAAACAAAGTTTAAACAGTTTTAAACAAAGTAAAAAAATAGAAACTTGTTTTGAAGTGAATTTTTCGTTTTGAATTCAAAAACATTGATTGGAAAAGAGAGAGAATAGCCAGGAAATTGTATTCCTTTTAACGCCAAAAAAAGGCCAGCGCTTTCACAAAACATCGGCCAACAGAGAAGTTTATTTATTAGGTCGTTACACCTTTATTCTTTGGGTATACGATGAAAGATCTTGTAGGGATAGATCTTGAACCTTTTGAGCTCGAGATTTTATTGTTTATTGTTCAATTTCCCATCTTTTTAAGTCAATTTGGGTTCACTATCAAGCAGTGATTGATCGCTCAACAATTCGAGAGTGAAAACGTGTTTTTTTCGACATTTTAAACACGTTTCAATGTTATTCTGCAGAAAAATAATTGATCTTTCTAATAAAACAAGCCGTAGTTCAATTGGTGCATTTGTTGGTTTTAAACAAAAGTACAAAAAGAAATGAAAAAATTTTCTTGGTAGCTTAATATGTACCACTTACGATTTATCACTATTGCTTGCAAATTATATTTAATTGATGAGCTTTCCGTGCTCTCATTTTGTACTTTGCGATTCCCAAGAGACACAAGAAGATTATCATAAGTCTACTCTGCTGTCTGCTCTGCACAAATGTCTACTGATGCACTGTATTTTGACTAGCTTAATCCTTACCAGTCTAAGCTTCCAATCTTTCCAATAAGTTGATCTCAATACTCTTCTTCAATACTCTTCTTTTTTCGAATTTTTCGAATTTTTCAATGCTTATCTATTGGTCCTTATACTTTGGGAGGTCCCAGCTTTTGTAAATTATTAGTTGAAGATACAGAATAAAGAATAACCCCAAGGTAGTTACGGTGTAGAAGATTCGAGCCAATAATTTAATGCAAATATGTAAAGAAACTGTTTTTTAAAAAAGCAAAAGAAGTTGATCTCAATACTCTTCTCAATACTCTTCTTCTTTTCTTCATGTATTTCTTCAAACATCCACCCACAGTCAAGAGCTTTTCCCTCTTTCTTTTCCCCTCAAAATGTGCTCATATGTGTCTTCCCCACTTTTCCTTTTTCCCCTTTCATGAAGATGAGAATGTGTTGGCCCCTTTAGAATAGTGCTTCTTCAACTTTTCTTTTAAAACAAAAAACGGTTCTTCAAGTTTTCCCTCCTTCAAAAGCCCAACAAGTTAGATGGGAAAAGAAAATAAACGAAAACAAATACAATTGTTGGCAAAATTTTCACCCAACCCACACGTGACTCAGTGGATCTCAGAAATGAACATCATAAATATCTGCTTCTTAGAATTTATAAAAGATAAATAAAGCTAATTATTATAAAAGAAATAAGGGTTGTTTTTTTTAAAAGAAACAAGGGTTGTTTTCTTTTATTTTCTTTCCTCATTATCGTCTACTTTTATTCAATTAAATTTCAGCTTTAGTATTTTCTCTTTTTCTCGGATAACCTAAAAGTTAAATTTCCCCGTTTTTTTGCTAAACTTTTCTCTAATTATTTTGAGAAAATGGTGCATTTCCAAAAATTTTCCCATTGGTTACAAAGCGATTGCAAAATGAAAGCGGTTGCAAAGCGGTTGCAAGTGCAATGAAAGCGGTTGCAAAGCGATCAAAGCTGTACAAACTTTTTTTGAAATTGATTTCCGATTTTTCAACGATTAATTGTTAAAATTATTTTCTTTTACTAACTTCTATAATAATTTAAGTATAGCTATATATAAATACTTTATTCAGAAAGAAATAAAGTGCGAAAAATGTACTAGATAAAAGATCACAAAGTCACTTAAAATGCAAGGAAATAGCCCTTTTAAAATCAGACACGGTGGAGATCAAACGCAACTTGTTGGGAAGGGCAATAAGCTGAAAGATTTACTAATTATGTGAAATTTGGTTCCTTATCTCTCTAAATATGGTTCCTTATCTCTCTAAATATGGTTCCTTATCTC